CTCAAGCGCGACGCGGTCGGCTTTGGCGCGTCTGAGCCCAAGCGCCAGAAAGCGACGAGTTCCTCACTTTGCCGCCGGGCATGAGCCAGGAGCAGCTCGCGATGCTGCCGCCCAACGAACGGCAAATGCTCCTGAGTTATATGGAGCCAAGCGGGCCTGCAGTTCCCGCAGCAGTAGGGTCTATAATATATAGCATCGCTGGTATATTAGTGCTTGGCCTTTTCTGACGCGCGACGGCCTTGAGGTAGTAACAGCGGTAGTAGACATACAGGAAGAGCGCGAGGAGGCAGCCGCCAACGGCGAGGAGCCACTGCACATAGTCCATCTCGGTCGGGAGGCTGCACGTCGTCACGTGCACGTTGAGCGGGTTCTCGCGGTCGTTCTGCCCCGAGTGGTGCACGAGCGCAATGGCAAAGCTACGATACGACTATCAATCTGTCATGTCCCTCCATGGCTACCTCGGGTCGGGTCGCTGGCCCCATGTGAACGTCGGCACCGTGTACTCTGGGATCGTCTTGACGGCGCCGGTCGCAGCCATCGCGTGGTAGTGGTGGTAGTAACACACCGAGTGCGTGTGCGCTGAGAAGATGTAGTCGGGCTCGAGCGTCTGCAGAATGCGCTGCGAGAGCCCTTTCGAAAGCACGTGGTCCTGCTCCACGTACGGAAAGGCCGGGTCTTCGTACGTGTAGTGCGCCCGCTCCTTCGTGCGCAAGTGGCCTACCACCCACGTCACTCGCCGTTCCCAGGCATAGATCCTATCGAAGAGGTACCGCATTTGAGATCGTTGGGGCGGTAGAACGGAATATGCGTGAGCACGACGAGCGGTCGCTTGATGTGCTCGGGCGACTTGCGCTGCGTCTCAATTTGGTTGAGAAGACTATTGAGATGGGGATTGAGATTGAGATCGTGGTGAAGCGTGCAGTACGCGTGGGCGCCGTGGTACACTTGGTGGTCCAACACGTTTGTCTCGAGCGCCATCGTGTTGAGCACGATAAAGTCAATGTCGTTGAGCGTCACGAGGCGGTTGGCGGGCCCAAAGCCAAGCTCGTGGCGGCGGACGAGCGCCTGCGTCATGCCTGGACCATATGCTGCATCGTGGTTCCCGAGCTATTCGAAGATACCAGGCCATGACGACGTGCAGGTAGATCCATGCTATCGACGTACGACGAAGAGCGTCTCGGTCTTGATCGGGCCAAACACCTGGAAGAATCGCGCTGTATACTCCTAATACGCTCGCGATATGGGTACATACACGGTGGCCGTCGTGCGACCGGAAACGAATGGACGCTACCTTGTAGTCGGTATCGGACGTCGCGGCCGTGCCTTCGTCGAGCTGGTCGCCAAGCACTAGGACAGCGTGTGGCTGCAGCGCAGCATAGGCCGCTTGGAACGAGAGGTACGCCTGCCAGTCGATCCACGCCTGCTCAATCCAGTAGCGCCGGCGGTGGCCCAGCACGTGCACGTCGCCGATGATGAGCAGCTTGAGCGCCGCCTCCGAGGCCTCAGTCGACGGCGCGGTGCAGTGGCGGATGCTCGACGAGAAGTAGAGCGCCGAGCCTTCCCATAGCACCAACGTCACGGACGCCAGCGCGCCGAGCGTGAGGTACACGCCTTCCTTCGTCATCGTCTTCAAGTGCGAGTCCAGCTGGTGTTGCAGCGACAAGGGAAATACCCAGCCGCAGAGGGTTAATCGTCAGAACGCATACGATGGTCTGCATTCGTTTTCGCGGGTCTTTCGCCGCACGTCAAAATCGGTTTAACCCACGTGTCGCAAGCGATGGACCACCTGCGTTTTACTATGAGTGGGACGCCGAAGCTTTCTGGGGGCATCACACATTTCACACGTGATGCATGTGTGTTTCGAGAGCTGTTTCGGTGTGATTTCTCAGCGCTCCATGAGCTCCATGTGGAGGGCGGTACTAAACTGGCGAGTGTCTCTTATTGTCCGTTGCTGATATCTATGAACGAGTGGCAGCGATATGAGCTGAGCACCGATGAAAACCTACGCAGGCGTCGCTCAAAGAATCGTGGCGCGTCAGACGCCTTCGTTTTGCGCGCCTTTTACCGTCGACCTTAGAGCAGAAGGGCTGTCCTTCTGTGAGGTCTGCACTGAAGAGCCACCGACGGCGCGAACTAAGTGATGTAGTCGCACTGGCTTCGCACTGGGATTTGACGGGAGGGGTAATAAACCAGAACTTTACCACATTCGCATGTCGAGGCTTGGATGACGTTTGATGTTCCAGATGCGCGTGGTGCCGTGGTGCCGTGGTACAACTTACATGGGCGCATTTTCCAGCTGTGTGACTCACTTGCAGTGGCTACGGTACTCTCAGCCGGCTATTGGCATCGTTGGAGCTTCTTCACCCGTTTGATTTGCGACGGCATCGAGGCTTTGCGTGCTGGTAGCAGCGCGACGAGCTGAATGTGCTGACCCAGCGCATGGAAAACTAGGCTGCTCTTGCACGGGTGGCATTGAATTCAGTACAATTGGGTGCTCTGGTCGCACCAGCTTGAGTACTTTCACAGCGAGCGACTGGTGTGAGATGCAACTGAGTCAGATCTGGTCGAGGTCGTGCATTGCCAAGCTTTCTTG